TGAACTCCCAACTCCTCCTCCCTTCTTTCCTTTTCTACCCTTTTCTTTTGTCTTTCCCTGCATAGAGTTCTTTGTAGCATTGAAAGTGTAAATAGGGGTGTCAGTGGTATTTTTTGTAGCAAGTCTTGCAGCGACAGCCCCCGACAGCGCCTCCAGCACCCCCGGGCGAAAAAGGAGTTGATCACCCCATTGCAGAGCCGCCCTACTCTCCTGGCCGACCGGGTTAGGCTGGTATGCAACCATAGCCGCAACAGACCTGATGGGGGAAGTACTATTCCCCTGATGCAACATGTCCTGGCCCGCCTGGTCAGGTACAACAACCGTGGTGGGAGCCGCTCCCCCCACCAGCGCTTGGCCCTCCTGGCCTTCGCTAGTAGGGGGTGCAGGGGTGTATGGTGATGCATTCTGGGACGCTACAGGGAGACGACCCTCCTGGCCGACCTGCAGTGCCCCCTTGGTGGGCGCCCTTCTAGCCGCCATTTCTTGGCCCTCCTGGCCAAGGCTAGCGCGCTCGAGTGGCCCGCGCTCCAGGTCCACCTGACCCGAGGCAGCTCCTACGGGCACTGGCAGAGAAGGTACTTGCCCCAGGCCCTCCTGGCCGAGCAAGTGGTCTCCCTGGACTGGACCTCCAGTCGCCAGGATAGACGATGCAACATCTTTCTCTTTCACAGTGAGATCACTCACAGCTTTGGTGACTTTGACCACCATACCTTCAGTAGCCTTTGAGATGTTTTTTCTACTATAGCCCGAGTACACAAGAGCTCTTCTACTAGCTGTATTTCCCTTCCAGTAGGCCTCTACACTGAGGTTTTTTTGCAAAAACAGCTACTCTACTCTCTTTAGGAATCCTACAGAACCTTTCCGACATATGGCCTACAAGCCCACAACATTCACAATATGACGGCAACTTTTCATAACGAACATCATAGTAAAGTTTTTCTTTGCTGTCTAGAGGAGTGAATTCTACTCTACTCTTAATTGGCTCGTGTAGCGGGACTTTCACACGAACATGCAAATACTTCTCTACTATCATGTGATTCTGGTGTGAGACGGTTATCACCTCCCCGATTTGGTCCCCTAGAGATGAACCCACATCTTCAATTTTAAGCTCAAACGGTAGGTCACGAACCTGGGCCCAAATAGCCATGGTTCCAAGATCCACCTCCGCCGGGTTACCCTTGCCGTCGAACTCGGCGAAGACGATCCCATCACGCTTATGGTGCCACGGCTGGGCTTTCAACACAAAGCGTCTATCCACGTCGGCAGAGAAGTTCAGGATGAACCTCCCGTTGTCGCTGTCCACCTCCTGGACAGTGACCTCGCCTTGCAGCCTCCAAGCCGACGAAGCACGAAGGTCATCAACAAGGACCTGCGGGTGAACTTGGAAAGGCGACAGAAATCGCCCCACCACCAAGAAACCCCTCACAGCCCTCCTGGCGGCCTCCATATCGATGACCAGCGGTGAGCCATCCCCACAAGGCTGCCTGGACACCTGCATCTTTTCGCCCCCAGGTGAAGTAGTCAGAGAACCGCTCCCCATGGTCGCTGGCACACTCCCCGATCCCTGACCCACCTCCCTCTCCGCCTCCCCCTTTCTCTCCATAGCTATCTCTCCCTTACTCACTAAAACAACTCGTACAGGGAAGAAATTCACACAGGAAAACAGAAGGACTTGCTGTGTATGGAGAGCTGATGACTCGAGACCCCCCCTCTCTGCTGTAGATATAGTTCCTCCCCTCACCCAAATTCGCCACCAGCATGATGAGAATTGTGCATTTATCAAAAATTAAAAGATCATAAATGGGCAGTTTCCAAAATAAAGAGGCACTAATTTCTCTTTTTTTCCTTTAATGTACAGATAACATTCATCCCCTGATTTCTCTCTTTCTCTTTTATATCTCTCAGAGAAAGAATCTCTCTGTAATCCAACGCAATCACACTAGTTTCCATACTAGTAGCATCCAAAATCGGACCCCCTGCCCCAAACGGGATCAAATCCTGAGAAACAAGGTCCCTATTATATGGAAGTACCTCCGATTTGTCGCCGTTGTAGCCGCCGGCTTTCACACTCCCCACCAGATCAGTGGGGCTCCTCTCTGGGTTCATGCCCATCATCTCCTCCGCCCTCCTCTTCATCCGCTTCCAGCACCTTTTCCGGTTTAGAGATTGCCGGAGGATCCGCCTTGACGTGGCCTTGATTTCTTCCCAATCCAGATTGCCCACCGGGCCCCCGACGGAAATCTCCGCCCTCTTGGGGACGCGAGGCTCCGTTGACTCCGCCTGGGACGCCGTTGTTGCCCGCCCCCTCCCGTTGGGGTCACGAGCCGCCGGGGCCTCCGCCGGATTCCCCGTCTCCATCACTCCCCTTTCTCTATCTCCGTCGCCGCCAGATCGCCAAGCGATCGCGGGAGCTTTTTTTTCCTGGCGTCTCACATAAAAGGTTGTTTGTTCCTAGGGTTGAATGCGAATAAATTCTGATCGTAACAGGTTTTTGCTCTATCCTACTCACATTAATTCATACACTTTTCGCCTGGTTCTCCAATATTGAAAACAGAAACAATGTCATCAATCGGTGGATATAATGGATTCCCCCCCACATGATAGTGAAGGTGAATGTTGCAACAGTTGACAAACATATTATCACCACGACTAAGCACACTGGAAGAGCCGAACCGCTGTTCGAGGCGAGGTAACACTCACGGTAAGCATCTTTGATGAAGTAATGCCCAAACGCTTATGTGGCTTGCTCACTTTCATCCCGCCAGTCTAGAGTAATCAGGATAGCGCTAAAAGAGGACTCCAAGGATACTCGGATTGTCAATCAAATTCCCAACGCAACTCATTCTATGGGAAATTGCACTCTTCGCTGGTGACACTCAGCGTGCTCATCATTGTTGCCCTCCCCACACACTTGATCATGCATTCTCCCTCCAGAAACTAAGAGTATCTCCAGCCGCGCCCCCAGAAAGACCTCCTCAAACGTTTTTTTCGCGCCGGCGTAGAAAAATTGGCCCAGTCGCGCCCCCAGGAGTCCGATTTTCGCCGGCCTGGGCCGAATTTAGCGCCGGCGGACCCAGGCCGAACCCGGCGCGCTGGGGGGCGCTCGGGGGCGCCGGGGCGAGCGGTTTTGGCGCGGAAGAGCCGCGGGCCCGCCGCGTCAGCTACACCGCACGTCTTTATCCCCGAACGCCTCGGTTTCCTGTGGGGAATCGATGGCAAGGATGCCGCCGGTCAGCCTTATCATTGATTCCTCACTGGCAGCGCGTCACGGGGTGGCGCGCCGACGCCTCCCCTGCCTCGCACGCGTACACACGGGGCGGCGCCGCTATATAAGCCGGTGGCCTCCCTCGCCTCTGGCCACACCAGCCACACCAGCCCAACCCCGCTGTCTATCTCTCCCGAGCGCTGCCGCCGAGCCCTCCCTCTCCCGAGCGCCGCTGCCGAGCCCTCCCCCCTCCCTCCCTCTCCCGATGGCCGAGCGATTCCCCGGAGATGAGGCCGCGGCCAACGGCTTCGGCCGCCGCTCGCTCCGCGAACAGGAGTTTTGGCTCCTGTTCCAGGCGAACATCCCGGCGCCGCCGGACATGCGCGCTGGGCCAACGGGGTGGAGACTCAGCAACGGGGGAGTGCCCATTCCCCCGTTGCCCGACGCCGTGGCGAAACCGGGCTACTTCGCTGACGAGGTCGACGTCGTGCGCGCCTCCCTCACCGACGCCCAGCTCGCCCTCCCCGAGTACGCCGCCGACAACATAGCGGTGTGGACGGCATACTTTCAGCGCCGGCATCACCAGATGCTGGCGTCCACCAACGGCGCGCCGGTGGTGGCCGGACCGAAGAACAGCGACGGACGCCGCCTATGGTGGGGTGTCCCCGACCGCACCCTCGAGGGCGTTCTGACTTACCTCGAGGGCGGCAACGACCCGCCGTTGGCATACCCCCCGGCGAGGGTGGCCGCCACGGCCACGGCTCACCGCCGACGCGACGGGCAATGGTTGCCCAGGAGGTTCGGCGCCTCCTCTTCTTCGTCCTCCTCCCGCTCTTCCTCACACTCGTCCGGCACTCCGGCGCTGCCCGACGTCAAGGCCGAGCCCGCGGCGGAGACGCCGCTTGGCCGGCGCACTCGCAGCGCCGACATCGTCATCAATGAGGGCGGCCGGCGCGCCCCCTCGTCGGCTCCTCCGCGCTTCGTCAAGCCCAAGATGCAGCCGGGCCTGGCGCCGGTGAAGACGGAGCCGGGCCTCCCCGCGGTGAAGACGGAGCACGGCGGCGACGTCGAGCTCGACGATGACGCGGCCCTAGAATGGGCGCGTGCGGACTCCCTGAAGATGGCGAGGGAGCGCCAGTGCGCCGTCCTGCAGCGATTCGCGCAGCGCCGCCGGGGCCGCGACGAAGGAGGAATCGTCGTCATCGAGGACAGCGACGACGCCGCCGCGCCACCGCCACCAGCCCGCATAGGCGACGCCGGTCAGGGGTCCACTAGGGACGGCCTCGTCAAGGAGGAGAAGCCAGACGATGACGACGACGGCGGTGGTGGCGGCGACGACGGCGACTACTCCGCTTTTAGCCAGTTCTTTTTTTAATTATATATATTATGTAATAAAAACCCGCTTTTTAAATGTAATATATGCCGAACTTCGCCGAACTTTGAACTTTGCTATATTTTTTAATTTTTTTAACGTGCCTGGGGACGGTCCTGGGACGGCGGCTGGAGACCAATTCGTCCCCAGGCCGATGTTTTGCGCCGGGTCATCCCCAAGGGGCGATTTTAGGCGCCCCTGGGGACCAACGGCAGGAGATGCTCTAAACATGATTCTGCTAAAAGTAATGTAGTTATTTATAGAAGGTCAGACAAACTAAACACGATTCTACTATACAAACGTGTTATGTCATGGATTCTCGTGGTATGTCAATTGTTTTTCTTAGATTTTTAAATATGAAAATGATGATTTTTGAACGGGATTGATTAGATTAGGGAATTAAGCGAATCGAAAAGAAATGTCATGGGGTTATGCGAAATAGAGAAGAAATCACCACAGACCGCGATCCCCTCTGTCAGTTCTCACCGGAAGTTTCTCCGCTCGCCCGGCGCCGGTGCCGCCGCCGCCGTCTGCACCATGCTCCGCCTCCTGAAGTGCATCCTCACCCAACAGCTCTCTTCTCCCTCCGCCTCCACCGTACCCCCTTTCTTCTCCCTCCGCCTCCTCTCAACCGCGGCGCCCCCCGTTCTTGCAGGGGAATTTGATGATTTGCCACGGCTTTCTTTGCACTTTGATGATTTGCCCTTGTTTTCATTGACACTGATTTTTTGCCACACCTTTGCCAAAACTTTGATGATTTGCCCCTGACAAGATGGGCCCGCCGTGAAATGTCTAAAATGTCCCTGCAATCCAGATGACCACAACACAGCCTAGGCCGAGTACCATCTCACCTCTCCCAGCCTCGACCAAACCACGGCGATGACCTGCACGAGCCGAAGCCCCGACCTCCGCCTGCTGTGGAAGCTCCCGGACGTCGCGACTGTCTCCTTCGCGGGGTGCTCGCGCTGCTAGCCTACCTCAGCAGCTCGGTGTGTTGTGGTGACCACGGTTGGTGAGGCGGCACTGCTTGGCTACAACTGTATGCCGCGGAAGCTCTCGAACAACACGACGGTTGCCGACGTTGGCGGTGACCCTGACTATAGCCAGCAAGGCGGCGCTACTTGGCTACCAATGTATGTCGTGGAAGCTCTCGGACGACGCGACGGTTACCGACGTTGGCGCTCACCCTGACCTCAACCAGCAAGGCGACACTGCGAGCGGCGGCGCAGCAAGTAGGCTCGACCTACGGCTGCCGATCTGGTTGGCCTTCCTCGATTTAGAGCCTTAGAGCATCTCCAATAGCCGCGCTAAACTAGCGCCGCGCTGCAAATTAGGCCGTTTTAGCGCTAGCGCAACGCGGCGGGTCGCTCCAGCGGGCGCGCAAAAATGGCGCGCGCGCTATAACGGGTTGGGCGCACGGTTGAAAACACTTACCCGCGCGGCGTATTTCGGGCGCCAACTACAGCGCGCGGCACACTCGAGCGCTCGCGCCGCACTCTCTTCTCTCCTCGTCCTACGCCCCGCGCGCGCCTGCGCCGGCGCCCTGCCACCCACCCATGGACGCGCACACCGGCGCCCTGCTCACCCCGCTGTACAGCCGCGACCCCCCCGCCGCCGCCGCAGCTGCCGCCGCCGCCGGAAACCCTAGCGCGGGAAGCGCTGGCGTCGCCACCGCCGGAGCTCCGCCGAGCGTCGGCCTCGCGCGCAGCCTCTTCTTGCCGCCGCGGATGACCACGGCGCCGGGTGGCGTCGCGCCGACGTCGTCCCGTGCCGCCGCCGCACCGTCGAAGAAGGTCCCCAATGCGGCGCGGACGAAGAAGGGCAAAACATCCGCGAAGAAAAACAAGGCTGCGGACGGCTCCGGCACCACGAAGGCGAGGGGAAAGAAGCTTGCAGGGCGTTCGACGGCCGCGGCGGCTACCGAAGCGCCGGCGAGCTCACTCGTTGAGCTGGCCGCCGACGCGCATCACGTGTTCGACGAAATGCCCCCAAGGTGAAATTTTTTCCAACTTTTCTTTTCTTCTTATTTTTTCAATGCATCATCATCACATATAGATAGCTTATTTGCATTGTTCAAAAAACTTTGTAGTCTCAACGATGATGCATACATGTCCACTATGGGTGTTGGGTCCAACAATTCGCATTGGTCTCAAACCAATGACATCCATTTCGAAGACCATGAGTTTGAGGTGGACGAGGAGGGTGAGGGAATTGTCGAGGCGCCGAAAGGAAGAGCGGGCAATTACTCAACCAACGATGACAAGTTACTATGCCATACTTATTTGCAAGTGTCGAGGGATCCATCCATTGGAGGTGATCAAAGTAGAGACGCGTATTGGGGGCGAATGAAAGAACACTTTGATGCTCACAGCTTGAGTGGAATTGACCGCTCCGAGAGATCACTTCGGTCCCGATGGTCGACAATCAACTCGGATTGTCAAAAGTGGGCGGCTGTACAAAAGGCAGTTGACAAGATTAACCCAAGTGGCACAAATGAGGATGATCGAGTAAGTGGCATCTCATATATGTTCATCATACTTGTTTTTGGTGACCGAAGTGCTAACTTGTTTTGTTTTTCTTGTAGTACAACATTGCACAAAACTTATTCAAAGAAGAGACAAGGACAACCAAGAAGGGGAAGATCAAGAAAGGCAGGGTCTTTACCTTGCCTCATTGCTATGAAGTGTTAAAGGATGATGAGAAATGGAAGAAGCGTGATGGTTTGGAGGATTTGCATTTGAGCAACAAACGGAAGCGAGCAATTGAGATGAATGATGATGATGATGAGGATGATGCATCAAGTGATGACGGCAAGAGAAGCCCCACACCCAACTCGGTTTCATACTCGAAGCCAAAACGATCGATGGGTGCAAGAAAGACAAAACCGAAAAGAAGAAGAGGAAAGGAGATGATGAGCTCAAAAATGCTATGGAAGCTATTGTGAAGGCAAGGGTCGAAGCCAATGAGGTGAGGAAAATGGCAAGGAACCAAGATGCCGTGGCCGAGGAGAGGAGGTTGGCGGCCGAGGAGAGAAGGGTGGCGGCCGAGGAGAGAAAGGTGGCTTTGGAGGAGAGGAAAGTGAGCAACGAGGAGCGAGCTAAGTTGTTGGAATGGGAGAAGCACTTGTTCTTCTTGGACACATCTAACCTCAATGCGGCGCAAAAAGAGTATGTCAATCTTGCCCAACAAGAAGTCTTGATCCAAAAAAGAGCCTTGGTTCGTGCAATGGGTGGCGGTGGCCTCGGCGCCATGGGTGGCGGTGGCCTCGACATCATGGGTGGCGGTGGCCTCGGCGTCATGGGTGGCGGTGGCCTCGGCGCCATGGGAGGCATGGGTGGCTTCGGAGCCATGGGAGGCATGGGTGCACATCCGGCCGCCATGGGAGGCATGGGTGGCTTTGGAGCACCCTCCGACGCTATGGCCGCCATGGGAGGCATGAGTTTTGCTTCTCTCATGGGAGGCATGGGTGCACCTCCGGCCGCCATGGGTGCAATGTCTTTCGATGTGCCTTCTCACACACATTCCCATGAAGATGCCGCCGTTGAAGATCTTGCCAACACCGTCGTCGCTAGGAAGATCTATGCGATCGACCGGGGGGCTGAACACAGTGATCATCGACATGGACACGACGACTAGGGTGGAGGGGTTCCTGGTGTGCTCGCCGATGGGCCCGCTGATGGAGCATGACTTCCCGCCGGAGAAGTGTGGAGTCATCACCATCTGAAGATCCTTACTAGCTGGGTTTGCTTTGTACTGTGAACTGAATTAACAGTGGATATTTTTCTTTTCCTCTGGTTGTATATCGACTTGTGTATTTTGGTGAAATGGTTTTACATCGACTTTTAACTCTTAACATGTGGAAATAAAAGGTTGTTTGTTCCTGGGTTGAATGCGAATAATTCTGATCGTAGCAGGTTTTTGCTCTATCCTACTCACATTAATTCATACACTTTTTTCCTCCTTCTCCTGTTCAAAACTGAAACAATGTCATCAATCAGTGGATATAATGGATTTCCCCCCACATGATAGTAAAGGTGAATGTTGCAACAGTTGACAAACATATTATCACCACAACCGAGCACATTGGAAGAGCCGAACCAGTGTTGGAGGCGAGGTAACACTCGTGGTAAGCATCTTTAATGAAGTAATGCCCAAGACACTCATGTGGCTTGCTCAGTTCCATCCTGCCAGTCTAGAGTAATCAGGATAGCGCTAAAAGAGGACTCTAAGGATACTCGGATTGTCCAAGTTTCAATCAAATTCCCAACTCAACTCATACTATGGGAGAATGCACTCTTCGTTGGTGACACTCAGCGTGCTTATCGTTGTTGCCCTCCCCCACACACTTGATCGTGCATTCTCCCTCCAGAAACTAAACATGATATTGCTAAAAGTAAGGTAGTTATTTATAGAAGATGAGACAAACTAAAGGCGATTTTAGTATACAAACGTGTTATGTCATGGATTCTCGTGGTATGTCAATTGTTTTTCTTAGATTTTTAAATATGAAAATGATGATTTTTGAACGGGATTGATTAGATTAGGGAATTAAGCGAATCGAAAAGAAATGTCATGGGGTTATGCGAACCACCCATTTTCTTCTTGGGACAAAATGGACTTCTTTCTGCTGTTAAACTAAAGGGAAACGTTTGGGGCCGGGGCACCGGCGGAACGATTCGGCCGGTCTCCCTCTTCCTCGCGCAGCGCCCGTACAGGAGGGCACCAGCGCAGGGCAGGCACCACGCGCGGCCAGGCGACCAGCGGGCTCCTTCGACCGCCGCCGCCAGAGAAGAGCGCCTTGTTGTCCGCGTGCGGCCGCCCCTCGCCGGATGTCACCACATACCGCGATCCCCTCTGTCAGTTCCCACCGGAAGCCGCTCGCCGGCGCCGGCGCCGGCGCCGCCGTCTGCACCATGCTCCGCCTCCTGAAGTGCATCCTCACCCAGCAGCTCTCTTCTCCCTCCGCCTCCACCACACCCCCTTTCTTCTCCCTCCGCCTCCTCTCAACCGCGGCGCCCCCCATTCTTGCAAACCCCGGCGCCGGCGGCTTCGCCGTCCAAGACTACCTCGTCGCCACCTGCGGCCTCTCTCGAGCGCGAGCGCTCAAGGCGTCCACGAGACTCTCCCACCTCAACTCCCCCACCAAACCCGACGCCGTCCTCGCCTTCCTCGCCGGGCTCGGCTTCTCCAGGGCCGACGTCGCCGCCGCCGTGGCAAGGAACCCCAGTTTACTCTGCGCCAAAGTGGAGGGTACCCTCTCCCCCATCGTCGCCGGGCTCACCGGCCTCGGCCTGTCACACTCCGAGATCGCGCGCCTCGCCTCGCTCACCGACTACTGCTTCCGCACCAAATCCGTGGTCGCCAAGCTGCGCTACTACCACCACCTCTTCGGCTCCTCCGACAAGCTCCTCCGGGTGCTCAAGGTCAGCCCCCTCCTTCTCTCCTGCAGCATCGGGACGGTGGTCCAGCCCAATGTCGCGTTCCTGCGGGAGTGCGGGGTAGATGTTCGACATATTGCCTCTCTGTGCGTCAATGTGCCGAGGCTTCTGACCACCAACCCCGAGCGCGTCCGGGCGATGGCAGCCTGCGCCGAAGGTGTAGGCGTGCCCCGCGGCTCTGGGATGTTTAGGGAAGCGCTGCAGGCCGTCGCGTTCCTCAGCGAGGAGGAGATCGCCGCCAAACTGGACTACCTGAAGAACACGTTCAGGTGGTCCGATGCCGAGGTGCGGATTGCTCTGTCTGGGTATCCATCGTTGCTGAGGAGATCAAAGGACATGCTCCTGCGTAAGTCCGAGTTCCTTATCTCTGAGGTGGGGTTGGAACCGGCCTACATTGCTCGTCTGCCGGTAATGCTCTGTCTTAGCCTGGAGGGCCGGCTCAGGCCCAGGTACGATGTTATAATGTTTCTAATGGCAAATGGATTGCTCAAGCGCGTCCCCAAGTACTATCCAATCTTCAGGGCAACCGATAAGGCATTCTTTGAGGCGTATATATACCCTCATAAGGAAGCTGCACCGCACCTCGCTGAGTACTATGCCACAGCTTGCCGAGGGGAGGTGCCCACTGGATTCACATTGACAGGAACAAAGAATGGGCTATGAAAATTGGGACTGCGTATGGCACAACCAAAATTCTTCTTCGTGTGGTAAGGTGCTAATTCCTGCCTTAGTGGATGTTGTTTGTCCGCTGTTGGCTGTTATATGTCTGTTAGATACTTGTTTGGTCATTGCTAATTCGTGATGAAACTGATTATTTGATTTCTGAATCCTGATATGTTAATGCCATCATGTGTCTCTGAGGTTGATCCAAATGTGAGATAACATACATATAAAAGGGCGTGATATATATGTAAATCCTTAGACGACTGCAAGCCTTCTGCTTGCATCTTCTTTTCTTAGCATTCCTGAAGCTAGATGATATACTCCTTTATGAGATGAATGAAGATTGCAATGATAAATGGAATGCAATTCAGCAACTCTGTAGGGTGCAAGAAGTTCAACTCAATATATCCATAGCTCTGTACTATGTCCTTATCTCCAATAATATTATGTTAATTCGGCAACTCTATAGGCTGCAAAGATTTATGTTAACTCGGAATAAAAAAAGGTTGACTTAATAGTTGTTGCTTTTATCTTATGAATTTATGTGAAACTTCATATTTGCCTACACTGACGATATTAAGCAGAATGCGATGTTGATTTCATGAGATTAGTGCTTCTGATAAGTTGGTTTACTTAAATTAAATTTAGGAATGTGAATGCAATATGGCTTCCTATGTTGAGCAGAATTAGGATCTTTTGCTAAAAAAACGTTTGCACTCACGTTTTTGGTAAGTATTGTTGGTCGGTGTCTGTATCGTGCTTATATAGATTTTTTTTTTTGGTCTGGGAATGATGCATTAGGCTTTAATTCAACAATATCTAACCTTTTGAGGCCCTCAATGGACAGAAGATCGGGAAAAAGAAAGGAGCCACATCGTGCATTTATGAGCAAGATGGCATTGTGTTTCTTGATATAACTGTAACTGCAAATGATATCTTTTGATTTCTGAAAGTGTGCACCGCGATGCTCTCTGGCGGATGCACCTTTCTGAAAACCTGCAATATCTGTTCTATTTTGAATTTTAAGAGGCAGAAGTGTGTGATCAGCACAGTGCAGATCAGTGTCTTAAATGAATCTGCCTTGCTGCCCTAGCTACTATATACACACACCAAATCTCGTTTTTATTTTTTCAGGTGGTGCAATCGTGTTCTAACTGTCTACTTTTATAAAGCTGACCTGAAAGGTTCAGATTTATCATTATACGCGTGGCTTCTGTTTCGCACCTGGGAATGAGAGAAGTCAGTTTTGTCACTGGAAAATGGAACAGTGCCATCCTCTGCACCAGAACAAAACTTAGGCTATAGGACCTGGCAGGATGGCGGCACCTGCAGGCGACACCGCGTCGGTGCCGGATGAACCGGCAGGGATTTCTCCTGTACCCCAAACACCACTACCTGCCCGATCTGGAGCCAACCAACCAGCTTGCAATGTTCTACAAATCTATATAACCCACAGATACATGAGAAGGCAAATTAAAAAAAAACAATGGAATTATATCAGTGTCATATAAGGGCATTTGTACACTAGGTGCTAGGAGTACATACTTGCTCATCTTTTCTTGCTTGAGTTCTAAGACTATCTGTGAATGTCCGCCGGCCAAAGGTGACTCCTTGGCTCAGTTTCTTACGAATCATCAGTTTTAAATTTCTTGCAGACCAACAGTTCAATTTTCTTGCAAACGAAAAATTTGATCTAAAAACAGAAAGCATGCTAAGAAAACAAATTTTACTCAAGGACTATTTGCACTTTGGTTTGTCTTGTTTTAGCTCCTACTGACCTTGTTCACTGTCAAATTACAATTGAAGGAGTTTGAGTTGATGGATACAGGAACCAGGAAGCGTCAAGCGTGAGATGGATTTGCAACTTTTCGTTCAGTTGACATCTTTGTGTTTTTGTTACTGATTTCTAGCTCCTCTGTTTTCCCCTTCTTTGTGAGAATGTAACTCCTCTTGTTAGTAGGATCATAGTTACGATAATAAAGCTGACACACTTGACCTACAAGATGTTCAAAGTTTACACTTGTCCCAACATTATACATTATACTCAGTGATTTGTTCAGTGCCTAGCTAGCATGGGCTAGCTAGCATGGCTATATTTCAGACTTGTACACGCCCCTGATAGCTTTCTCAATTCGACCATATCACTCTGGTGAGTCAACTAAAACGACATCATTCCTTCACCAAACTTCACATGACGGTTGTTGTGGCCATTTATTCCAACAAAAGGTGATGTAATTGTTGAAGAACTGTTGACTCTTTGTGGTGCCTTTCCACGGTTTAAGCAACAACAAACAAGGACAAAGCAACGTTTGCAAAGTGGAACAATAACAAACATGGCTGTTGTTTACACATGTCCCAACGTTCAAAGTTCCGAATCTGCTGGGATAATGTCGCGTGATGGCAGTGCATTTCTTGGTATAACTATAACCACAAATAATATTTTGTTGATTTTTGGAAAGTGTGCACTGCAAATGCTCTTGTAAGGGCAAATTATGAATACATTTAACTAATTCAAGAATGCTCTTCTCACCGGCGGGGTTCAGAGAACATCAGGTTTGACCACTTCACTTGAATTTGGACATATGTTGTGTAAAATCTCGAATTTGTCCATCTTTTGAATTAGATATAAGCGAACATGACAGTGGAAAACTCACCAAAGTGACATGAGAAGTAATTGGGACCTGTACAAAAGAGGCAAATCGAAATTCTCAGAGAAAAATAATTATGATAAAATAAGCTAGAGAACTCTCAGGTCCCAGACAGAAGCTTTGTTCCGTTACATGGTATTTCTGCCTTTTACAGAGGATAATGTTCAGCGCTTGGCATGGCTTTAGTCATCTCACAAAGTGTTCATGGAAAATAAATTTGGCTTGAAGGAGTTATTCAGTGTGCATATCAGGGATGACAATGTTCAATTTTCTTGCAGACGAACAATTTGATCTAAAAACACAGAGCATGCTAGTAAAACAAAATTTACTCAAGGATTAGTTTAACTGTTGAGCAAATAGTTACAGGTCCTAATCATATTTGCACTTTGGTTTATCTTGTTTAAGCCTCCTACTGGTCTTGTTCACTGTCAAATTACAACTGAAGGAGTTTTAGTTGATGGATACAGGAACCATGAAGCGCAAGATGAATTTGCAACTTTTCGTTCAGTTGACACCATTGTGTTTCGGTTACTGATTTGTAGCTCCTCTGTTTTCCTCTTCTTTTTGAGAATGTAACTACTCTGTTTTTTGTTGTTGCAAGTGACAACTCCTCTGATTTGTAGGATCATAATTACTACAACAAAGCTGCCACACTCGACTTACTTTTTTTTGGGGACACACTTGACTTACTGGATGTTCAAAGTTTACACTTGTCCCAACCTTATACTTAGTGCTTTGTTCAGTGACTAGGTTTTTTTTGAAAATGAGGCTTACCTCCGGCCTCTGCATCAATTGATGCATGCAGCCATATTATTAAAATCAAAACAAGGTCTTAAGTTCCACGGAATCTCAAAATCTGAGCAAGAAAGATAAACATAACTGTAAAACGCCACACCCGGCGAGAAAGCGCCACATCCGACTATAAAAAACAGGCTACGATGCCTACACACCTAGCCTATTATTAGCTCGCCATCCAAATCGGCTGAAGATAGCCCGTGCAACCGTCTCCCATCGGCTACACCCAATAACCATAAGCTCCCTGTAGTCCGCATGAGTGAGTAACGACCACACACGGATCCAGGCTGTAGCTCTGTAGATAACCTGCAAAAAATTAGTGAATTTTGTCCCATTAAAAATCATATCATTTCGAGTGTTCCATATAGCCCATAATAATGCACATATCCCTATCCGAATATGTTTAGCTGTGTGCATGTCTACTCCATTAAGTCACGCCCCAAATAACGTGTTTATACTCATTGGAGGATTAACGTTAAAAGCTATATGGATGGATCGCCATAACAGTTTTGCAAGTGGACATTTGAGAAAGAGGTGTTTAATTGTCTCATTTTGATCACACAACATCTAGATTGACCGACTCAATTCCTTTTCATCAGATTATCTTTGGTCAAGATGACTCCTTTGTGGACAAACCACATAAAGATCTTGATGCGGAGTGGAACTTTAATTTTCCATATGTGCAAAGATCTCGACAATGGCCCAGAATCAGTTATGTCCAAATACATGGATTTGACAGAGAATACTCCATTCGTCGTTAATTTCCAACTAATTGTATCCGCCTGATCTGAAAGTTGAACATCCATCAACCTACGTACCAGGTGTAGCCAAGCATTCCAATGTTCCCCTACAAGAGATCTCATAAATTGGATATCAAGTGGTACTGAGTTTAATACTGTGGCGACATAATCTTCCTTACATTGCACAATATTATATAGAGAGGGGTATTGTAAGGCCAGGGGCGTCTCCCCTAGCCAAGTGTCCTCCCGGAACCTAGTAGAAGTACCACTACCAATTAGGAACTTCACCCGCTGGAAGAAAGTTACTTTTGTCTTCATTAACCCTTTTCAAAAGGGTGAGTCTGTTGGTCTTGCATTCACCTGGGCCAAAGTCTTAGTATGCAGGTATTTATTCTGCAAGATTTGTACCCACATGCCTTCGGTCTCCATCGATAATCTGTATAACCGTTTGCTAAGCAAACATCTATTCTTTACCGCTAAATTCTCGATCCCTAACCTGCCCTGGTCTTTGGATCTACACATAATATCCCATCTAGCCAGTCTATATTTCTTCTTGGCCTCGTCGCTTTGCCAGAAGAAACGGGATCTGTAAAAGTCCAATCTTTTTCGTACCCCTACCGGTACTTCAAAGAAATATAGGAGGAACATTGGCAAACTCGTCAAAACCGAGTTAATCAACACCAGCCTTCCTCCGTAAGACATGAGCTTGCCCTTCCAGCAGCTCATTTTTTTTTCAAATCTATCTTCTATACATTTCCATTCTTTGTTCGTTAACCGTCTATGGTGAATTGGGATCCCTAGATAACTAAAGGGCAGG